ATGTGAAGATGTTCAATCAGGTACGAGCACCTCCAGCTCATGTGAAGGAGAGAGTTTTCCAAAACAAGTTGCGCAAGAGGGTGATGTGGAACGATATGGTGACTTGAAATTCAGGATTGACGAGACCATCTTCGCTGCTTATGACAAAGCAGAGATGAGAAAAGCCAAAATACTAGTGATTGCGAGCTCAGACTTTGTGAGCACCTCTAAATCCTTTTTCTGGCCAGATGTGATAATGTTAGCAGGAACAGAACTGTATTGGATACAATCCATATCAATGGCAATTGGGGTTCAACGACAAACAGCGATGAATCCAATAACGATTGTTTTTGCCGGCAATAACCATCGTTGGCATAGCAGAGGTCTCCTGGGCAGACTCAGAGAGCCAGCAACGGCAGAGGCTACTGGGTGGCCAGCGATCAAAGACGTTCTGCAGTCTATGGGCGATATTATGGATCTGCTGAAAGAAGGTGGACTCCAGAAGATAACCCTGAAGCCAGTGTTTGTATTATCCCCGGGATATGCGCATCTCCTGGATGGGTTGAAAGTTGTGCACGCGATAATTGCCCTCCTCTCAGCTCAGAGGAGGGCAATTATCGCATGCACAGCCAAATCGGGAAATGAAAACAAGAAATCTGGGACCACTTCGATCAGAATTGCCAGCAGTATGGCCAGATATCTTGAACGCCATGAGAGGACTGAAAGACCACTCGCTACACATGTTGTACCAAGTGTTGGGATTGGAGCTGTCGAATTTCAGCAGACAACTCAAGATGAAACCAGGAATCGACAACGATCATCAAGTGATAGTGGATATGTCAAATGACCTGTGGTTCCGAGGAATGGAAGTCAAGGAGAAAGAAAATAAGAGAGAAGGCCCCGGCGCATGGAAGAAAAATGTTTCAAAGAAGAATACGCCAAAATAAGGATACCGTTCTCAAAACTTGAAACTTGTTTTGTTGTCTCGATGTAGAAATTGTTTTAGTTTACTCATTCGAGATCTACGCACGCAGTTATGCGCTTAAATTTTATTACTCGGCCTCGAATTTAGAAATTATAACTAGATTTCTTCAGTGTACCGTGAATATTAATTTGCATCTAATTTTTTTAGCACTTTCTCTTCCAAAGGAAGTTTCTTGATAAGAATTAAACAAGAAGCAACTGAAAAAAAAACATGCACTGAAGCCTGTAATAAAATCATGCAACAGTAGAACTTATACATAGAGCATGCACGAAGGCTAAAAATTATTGATAAGTAAAACTAAGACTTAAAATAGGTGCACGCTATACTGAAGAAAACTCGTTATAATTTCTAAAGTCGAGGCCAAGTACTACAACCTTTCGCGCAGAGCTCCGTATGTTCAAAAAAAAATTTTGAAAAAAACACGGTTGCGTTCTTCGAACAAAACGGATTTGTTTAAGACAAAAAAAAATCAGCAGCTAGTCTGATCCGCTACTCAGTGTCGAAGAGTTAACTAATGTGTTTAAGCTAGCGAAGGAACAAGAAGGATTTGTTGTTTTCTTTTTCAATAAAAATATTAACATAATTTATTAAATGATATTTGAATTTTCAAAAAAAACTTATTGAACTGTTATAGAGATTGACGAAGGAGATGAAAATCGGAAAGTTGACGATTGGGAGGAGGCAGATGATGGAGGCAGAAGATTGGAAGAACGATGTGGCTGCTAGTGGAAGCCGCTGGTCGACTCGTGGCCAATAGGAATGTGCCAGGTTCCGGGGTGACTGCACGCTATGGAACAATAGACAATACCGGCAGAGTAGAGCACTCCTTGGATTTGATAATGAACACAGATGCTGGAGCTGCTACGACAACGGAATCAGCAAAAACCTTCATTAGAAAAGTCAAGAAGAGGCCGATGAAGAAAGTGTAACCAGATTAAGAATAGCTTCACGCTAGTCCCGGACACACAGATGTGAGCATGCTTCAAAGGATCAACTTGGAGTCCGGCAATGAATATACAGCAACCACTAATCGGAGGTAGACGTGATAATTTTGTAGACGTGATTATTTTGATAGGCGCCAACAACGTTGTCTTAAAGCTCAGACTCAGGGTCAATGGGAAACGATGCTAGTGTGCATGTTTACTGCGTTGTGGCAGAAGTTTCAGTGCGCGGTACTGACCGTCTGAATAATACCAATGAATGCAAGATCACAGTCAGCTACAGCAAGAAGACATAATGAGAGAGTCGTGAAGTGGAATAACGAGTGATCCTTATGGAATTGGAGCACGATTTGAGAGCTCTGGATCAAGCCAGATTCACCACGGATGGAAATACACTTCGACAGCATAGAAGGGCAAGCCTGGATGAACCGTGTCTTCCAGGAGCGATTGAACGAGTTAGAGGTTGAGCTGTTCGACACCGCAGCATTGAGAACTGAGGAAGCGACGAACATGCTGGCAATATCAACCTTTGGGCTACCCTGTCAGGAGACACGTTTAGGGTCAGTCCCAGCCGTGCCACAAGCAAAGCAGAGCTCGATTGACCAAGAACAGAGTTCAGATGTGCTGGACCGACTGGGAGAATCACCATCGAGGAGGACTTTTCAGTTCCGACGAAGACTGGGACCAGTCAATCAGACGGACACGACCTCAGCCACCCCCAGATCAAAAATGACGACGATTGTGGGCAGGGAAGAGCGACGCCCGGATAGAAGTTACCTGATGTGGTCAAGACCCATACCTGGGCACATTTCAAACCGGATTTGATGAAGTTGAATTTCCAAACAATAAGCGTTGCAGCTGATGCAACAAGAACGCTGAACGGCGCGGGATTGTCGGTGAATGGACTGTACTCGATCGTAGGTGTGGACTGGTTGTAGCGGCGGAAATTTTAGCTCTACGACAGCATTGAGGTTGGCTGACCTCGAGGGACTGCTTTCGAAAGATACCATGGGTCCTGTGAATAGCAAACCATTGCAAGATGTGCGAATGAATGGCATCGAACAGGTCAGCGAAGAGAGGCCGCGAATGGAACACCCACTGGACAACATGTGAAGATGTTCAATCAGGTACGAGCACCTCCAGCTCATGTGAAGGAGAGAGTTTTCCAAAACAAGTTGCGCAAGAGGGTGATGTGGAACGATATGGTGACTTGAAATTCAGGATTGACGAGACCATCTTCGCTGCTTATGACAAAGCAGAGATGAGAAAAGCCAAAATACTAGTGATTGCGAGCTCAGACTTTGTGAGCACCTCTAAATCCTTTTTCTGGCCAGATGTGATAATGTTAGCAGGAACAGAACTGTATTGGATACAATCCATATCAATGGCAATTGGGGTTCAACGACAAACAGCGATGAATCCAATAACGATTGTTTTTGCCGGCAATAACCATCGTTGGCATAGCAGAGGTCTCCTGGGCAGACTCAGAGAGCCAGCAACGGCAGAGGCTACTGGGTGGCCAGCGATCAAAGACGTTCTGCAGTCTATGGGCGATATTATGGATCTGCTGAAAGAAGGTGGACTCCAGAAGATAACCCTGAAGCCAGTGTTTGTATTATCCCCGGGATATGCGCATCTCCTGGATGGGTTGAAAGTTGTGCACGCGATAATTGCCCTCCTCTCAGCTCAGAGGAGGGCAATTATCGCATGCACAGCCAAATCGGGAAATGAAAACAAGAAATCTGGGACCACTTCGATCAGAATTGCCAGCAGTATGGCCAGATATCTTGAACGCCATGAGAGGACTGAAAGACCACTCGCTACACATGTTGTACCAAGTGTTGGGATTGGAGCTGTCGAATTTCAGCAGACAACTCAAGATGAAACCAGGAATCGACAACGATCATCAAGTGATAGTGGATATGTCAAATGACCTGTGGTTCCGAGGAATGGAAGTCAAGGAGAAAGAAAATAAGAGAGAAGGCCCCGGCGCATGGAAGAAAAATGTTTCAAAGAAGAATACGCCAAAATAAGGATACCGTTCTCAAAACTTGAAACTTGTTTTGTTGTCTCGATGTAGAAATTGTTTTAGTTTACTCATTCGAGATCTACGCACGCAGTTATGCGCTTAAATTTTATTACTCGGCCTCGAATTTAGAAATTATAACTAGATTTCTTCAGTGTACCGTGAATATTAATTTGCATCTAATTTTTTTAGCACTTTCTCTTCCAAAGGAAGTTTCTTGATAAGAATTAAACAAGAAGCAACTGAAAAAAAAACATGCACTGAAGCCTGCAATAAAATCATGCAACAGTAGAACTTATACATAGAGCATGCACGAAGGCTAAAAATTATTGATAAGTAAAACTAAGACTTAAAATAGGTGCACGCTATACTGAAGAAAACTCGTTATAATTTCTAAAGTCGAGGCCAAGTACTACAACCTTTCGCGCAGAGCTCCGTATGTTCAAAAAAAAATTTTGAAAAAAACACGGTTGCGTTCTTCGAACAAAACGGATTTGTTTAAGACAAAAAAAAATCAGCAGCTAGTTTGATGCGTCAAAATTTGTTGAATGGACAGTAATTACCATTCCAATTGCAAAGTTGAGAATCGCAAATCGGGTCCCAATTACTTTGCAGGTTCTCAGGCCCGACAAAACGGGAGTGGATTAAGGTCAGCTATCCGTGTTGGTTTGAAAGCTATTATTTTGCCATTGGCAAGAAAATACGGCAATCCATTAGGAACATTTTTTTATCTGCTGCCGCCGCCAAAGTTTTGGAGCTTTTGGACGGTCGATTTAAATCGAAATGGTCCCTGAAAAAGGTTGTGAAAAAGACAATACGCAAACAAGTGGGAGGAGGTAGAAAAACAAAATTAACGAGAAAGGAAACAGCCTACAATATCCAAATCAAGCAGATCGCGCAAGCTAACTCGCAAAAAGCCCTGAAAGGTTTTCGCATAGCTGAAACGTAGTAGAAGTTTTGCTGTTGCTTAAAGGCATTGCTCTAGACATAGTAACGTGCACAGCAGAAAAAACTGAGTTGGAGCATTTCGTAGGAAAAGTAGAGGAACAGGAAAACAACCGACAAACGTTTTAGACGACAGACGACCGCCAAACGTTTTATGAATCTCGTGGGAAAAGCCTCAAAGTGAATATGATATCTTCGTTTGGCAGTGCAGATCTACAAACATCGGTTTGCCACTCTGGCTTAGAACTTTTTGGCGATGGTCAGATGTTAGTAGATTTTCAGCGAGGCTACTATGAAAAAGTTTTCCCTTGGACAAATTCAGATGCACCAGTCTTGGAATTCGAGTTATTGCCCTAGGAACCTTGGATTATGTGAGTGGACCATGTAAAAACATAACTGTGATAGGACTGGATTTAGTTGTTCAGGCATGGATCAGATTGTATGGCTTTGTCGTGTGAGGTTAATTCCTTGCGCTCTGTTGTTGTTGTTGGTGTGTGACGGCCTTCTATCTTGAAATAGGGGGCTAGAAAAGCCCAGTCTTTCGAACGAACTTCAGCACATTCTCTGGGGCCGTCTGCAGCAGTTTCAAGTCTGGATTGCGGTCTGTGAACAGTGAGGTTAATTTCTTGTTGATGTGTCCATTCGATAACCAATCTGCGCAGATCCTTATTGTTCTGTCGTGTTTTTTGAAAACTTAAAATGACTTCACTGCTCAACATCGCTACACAAAAGGTTTTGTGCCATGAAGAGTGTTAATTTTATTTGTTGGAAAAGGTCCTTGTACAGGGATGTTGTCTTTTTTCAAGAAAGATTCCACCAAAGTTTTCCCTTATATTATATGAACACGCTGCTTGGAATTTAGCCTCACTAGCTCACTATTGGCGTATACAGTTCTATACAGCAATTTCATTTTAATGCAATTCAAAGATTGCAGATTAAGTAAAATATTGTCTCGGTAAGTAAAATACTACGTAATAGCCGAATGGGGTTGTATCGGCATGGTTAATCTTTTGTTAGATTAAAATATACTCCTCTGCCGGTTTTTTCTAATCCCTTTTACCTATAAAAGGGGATCCTTGGTAAGCCAGTGAACGACTCCAAATAGTCACCTTATTAGGATTAGGGGTTAATTTTTTTATTTCAGGCCCAAATTTTTTTTCATCATAATATCTTTCATATCCGAACACGAGTCGGGATTGCAAAATACTTTTCTATACTTGTATGGCTAACCAAATACCATGATTACTCTCGAGGCAGAAAAAACCAATGCCGACTCCGTTCTTCGTGTAAGAGGTTCAAGTAACTGACTCAGATTCTCTTCAAACTATTGAGGGTCTGTTTAATTTTTTGTAGACCAGGTTCCCGTACCATGTATTCTTCTGAAGGTTCAGCAAATTTTAGCCTAATTGAAAGCCATTTCTAACGCTCTTATTGTTGCAGGCACTTGAAATACAAGGTTTATATTTTAGTTCGTCACTTTAAAGGTATCTTAGCCTTAAATGCAGTCGGCTTCTGTTCATTGCTTAATAATTGTTACTTGGCTAAACGTGAATGCACCCAAATATTTTCGGCTTAGTAGTCTCTCGGTAAATTTTGTCGTAATGCTACTTTAAGTCTGGCGACAGAAATCTCAAGATGTTAAAAAAAGCCATAAAACTTTCTGTCGTTTAACACTGATATATCGTCGAAACAACCGACTCTAGTTGATGATATCAAAATAATTTCACTTCTCATTTATGGCGGAATGCTAGCCATTTAATTACTATTTATGGTGGAAGGCTATTCATACAACTCCATGTATGGGAAAATGCTGATCATAGTTTTCATGCGATTTTTCTAATGTATGAAATGTATGAGCCATGGTAACAGAATTGTACTTCAAACTTCCTCAACCCGGGTTTATAGGAAACTCGAAAAACTTTGGTCGAACGCCTCTATAGTAAGCTGATACTGAATTTAATAAAGTTATACAATAAAAAAACGCAATTTACATGTAAGTTTTAAAAATTTTCGTAGCACGAAAAGAGTATACTATTCCTGCGTAACATTGCGCCTTCAACCAACCTGGTATCATTATAAACTGCACCATTATAACATCCAAGCAATAAATATTCAATAAATTTAGATTTCGAATTCCAATTACTACTCAATTCGGAAAATGCGACAAGATTAATAATGAACAAATAATGATTCTCGTCTAGAGAGCTTCGATGATTGACTATGATTTAAATGAGCCTAGGGTTGGCATTGCTAGTCCTGAAGGTAGTCGCGGCATTTCCATATTCTTTACTGCAGAAATTGCTTTGCCTGGAACTGCTTGTAAGCCAGCCTGAAAAAAAAACTGTCATGATACTAACTGATATACAAGGCAGCTCGAAACACCAATTGAGAATCAGTGTTAATGGTTCTATATTTCCGTAAAAACTTAAAAATAATTTTTTGCAAATGAGCGGCCTGTTTTTAATGACAACCGGATGGCTGGCCTAATTTTTCTCGAGTAAAAGTCAATTATAAACTCAATCAATTATTCAATTACACCTTAAAAAAATCATAAATCATATTTTTCTGACAATGGTAAATGTTTCTTAAAACCTAAAGATCTGAAAACCTGGCTCAATTAGATGAATTTTCAATTTTATGAAATGCGAAACGGAAAATGATATGACATTGATAGCAATATTTTACGAGACAAAGTTTCAAAATTGATTGTGGTCTAACTCACCAGACATTTCATGAAATTTTTAAAAATAATGTGAAAAAATTGAGGCTGACTCAACTTTAATATCTTGATGATTAAATATATCTGATGAAACTTCTCAGTTTAAATTAAAGTAAGAAAACTTTCAATCGCTTGCTATAATATGCAGCAGCTGTTTCAGCGTGTCATTTTTTTTGAAAAAATCTCAGCTTTCGAATTTCCAAGAAAAAAATTAGATGGCCTTAAAGCTTTTTGAGTTTCTACAACAATTTATGATTGGTTTTTGTTTGGTTAAAAAAAATCAATTTGAGAAAGCTGGATGAATAGGTTAAAAAAATTATTTCGCTTGGAAATCTGATAACTAAATTCCTTTTCGAATCTAGAAGTCAATCACTTTTTTCGCTTTTGCTTTTCGATGGTGGAATTTGCCTTCCTAGAAAAAAAGAAAATGAACTGAAGTTGGAACCTAAGTCAAACCGAAAAAACAAATTTGAGCCTAAACCAATTTTAAGGCTTTCAAAGAATTTCGGGTACCAGACTCTTAAATAAGAGACTTTTAGTTTCCTTTGAATAATCTGCTTTGAAAAGAACATTTCATCACGTTCGCACCATTAATGGTTTGTATGAACAAAGTAAAGTAAAAAGCAATAATGATACTTGATTTCATAATCCTCTTGATTTATTTTGAGTAGCCAGAATACTTTGATAGAATGTTAACAGAAAGATATTTTGGATATCAGACTCAAATAGTTTAGAAAATTAACAGAACGACTTGGACCTGTATTATCTTTATGTATACTTTTAATTCCAATCGAGAACTGCATGTGGCTTAAGATTGAGAGGCTACAGCACTCCCGATTGGTAGGGTAGCTTGAGGATCTCGCTATTCGAGGGACCCAGAGGAGTCCGGATCCTTGCCACTTGGTCGCCCGAGTTAGAAGACAACATCTTCTTCTGTTTACAGTTGAAACACGGTTAAGAACGGAGGTATCTGCTTATTGTATGCTGCCGTGAATTTTTTCACGAACATGATTCGTTTCGTAAACTACCAGCAAAAATTATCAATATGTGTTAATCGAGAACAGGCGCGTTTGCACTAATATGCTATGTAATGAGTTAGATATGGCTAGCAACAATTATAATCACTGCACAAAACTATAGGTGATTCAAAGTCTTCATTAATTCTTCTTCATCAACAGCTAGTTTTTCAGTCTGAATTTAAATCACTATGTCGCTTGAAGTTTCAAGTTTAAATGTAACTTTTTGTCAAATGTTTTTTTTTTCAGTTAATTGTAGCTGTTCGATTTTTTTTACTCTTTATCACTGATTACATCACATGCATAAGACCTGAAAGTGCATCTGAGGGATCCTGTTAAGCCTTAACCCCTTCTTCATAATGCAATCTTCTTAACAAAGCACAAAACGAACATATGTTTAACCATTGAAAATTAGTTTTTCAGAGGGGTGCTAATTCTTTACTAGCTACAACAGGAAGGGCGGGGGGTAATTAACATCAACAGGGAGGGGATACAACTTGAGCTCCACTTACCTCCTGTTTCTCAATCTTGTCCTGTTCGTTCACGCGCAACAGTATCTCGTTCATGTTTGTCTCTAACACCATCCCACCCATCACAATCTCCTGCAGTATGTAGTGTACTCTGTCTACATGGAAGATCAAGTCCAGCTCACACACATTCTCAAAGCACTTGTCTAATGTCTCCACAAACACCTACAAAAACATCATCTTTCTTAGCAAGTCTTTTTTCATTTTCCCAAAACTCTCACAGAGACGCTTAAAAAAACTCTAGCACAGGCGAAGCTGCACTTTGCAAATACAAGCTCTAAAAGGTCAAAAATGAAAAATGAAAAAAAGATAAAACTAATAAAAATTATGCTAGGTGCAATCGAACCTTAGCCCTTAATATCAATCGTCACACGGCCTAAATCTATGCCATGGCCGCTTAAAAAAATTAAACAATAGAAGCCCAGTTAAAGCTGGAAGTACCTGATTAATAAAAATTTTAAAATAGTACTGATCCGAAAGGTAATGTGTCATTTTCAAAACCCGTCATAATGTCAAAAACTACAATTACCAGGTCTATACCTAATTCCTGTCAAAAGTACGTGGAACAAGGTCTTGCAGAGGAAATTAAAACATCTCCGTTTCGGAACTGGCACGGTCTTTTTTGGGACGCAGCCCAAAAATGAGCAAAAAACTCAAACATTGTTAGAACCATAGCGGATTCATTAACAAAACTGAAAAAATCATCTCATGCCGGGGATTCTTTTACCGATTGAATCTCAGTTTTGGTAGTAGTTTTCGAGAAAATCAATTAACTCCCATAAATTACTTTTGCTTAGTCCAACATCGCTTTTCTACAAAAAGAAGGTCGTAGCCGCTACGCAGATAAATTTCCAAGCACCGGTGTTTTTTCGATTGCACTATCTCAGATTTGCCAGGGTAGTTTCCGACTAAAATCACCGAGAAACGATCAAAATCTCAAAAATAAGTTCATAGCAGTATTTCAACAAAACAATAGGACGTAGCTGCTTATGCCGAAAGAATCCTACTACCAGCTTTGGCGATCAAATTTAATTTCTCAGATTTCGCAGGCTATTTTTCGAGAAGTCAAAGCGTTTCAAATACGGCAAAACTTCAAAAATTTTAATTTTCTAAGCGATAACTTTTTCATCAGAAAAGGTCAAAAAATCAATTATTTCGTTAATCCATAGCAGATTCCTTGTCAAAATTGGAAAAATTTGATTACGCAGTGGTTGTCGCTACAAATTAATTCATCGATTGAAACCTTAATCTCCCATTTGTCACATAGGTTTGCTTTTCGAGAACATCAAACCTACTCCAAAAACGAGCCAAAAAAGGACTTGCTTTTAAACATTACATTTCTAGAAAACTTAAGGCAGAACAGCTCAAACGAGGAAATTCTTAACGCACATTTTTCGATGAAACTCTTAGTCTTAGATTCCGCAGAGCAGTTTTCGAGAAAAGTCAGAAAACTCCAATTATTGCACATTTTTTAAATCGATTCTTTTTCATTAAAAAATTAAGACGACCCCAGTTAGGCAAAGAGGGTTCACAAAAACTGTTCTGTTTAAACACTTAACATCGATTTGGCAGGGAAGTTTTCGAGAAAAGGAAAAGTTTCCAAAAGACGGTCAAAATTTGGACATTTTTCAAGGTCATAACTCTATTTCTAAAGCAATTAGCTTGTAAAAGCTTATGCAGGGGAGATCCCCAGAACACGTTATTTTGATTAAACCCTTAGCCTCAGATTTGTCCAGGTAATTTTCGTAGAACTTCGAGTGAAGAAAAAAAGAGACTGGCGGAATATGCAAGCACACAGGGTAGTAGTCGATCTTTCTACTTGAAACACTTTCTGAAGTAGTTCTCGAGGAAAACTAAATTTTTGGAAAAAGTTCAAAAACTTTTCGAAGCGTCTAAAAAATCATAAAAACTGAATCCCATTTATTTTTGAAATGCTTGTTTTTTCCTAACAGGCACTAGCCATCAATAAACCAGATTGAAAATATACTGCTATGCAGCAAAAGTAAACGATATAAAAAGACAAAAGTGTCATCAAATATATGAGAATTTTATTTGCGACTTAGGCTGAAAAAAGTGGATACCGCACTATGACGCTACACTTCGCATGTGTGAAAGCAAAAAAGACGACAAGCATTAAGCAGACACACGAAAGTCCGAAAACTGAAACTTAAATCAAGAAAGAAAAGTTCGAGTTGTCAAAATTTACAAGCCTTTGTCTATAACGAGTCTGTGGAGGCTGAAGAAGGTCTCAAGACTAAATTTATCTAGACTCCATACTCAACCTTGTAATACCACTTGTAACCCAAATTGGTTAATCCTCGTGGGATGAGAAAAAGCATATATTTAACAACCTCTCCCAATAGTACCTTTCATTTCTTTAATTTATATGTACTTTAAAGCAACCTTATGATTTTTCTGTTTATAAAATACCAAAACTGTTTATAAAATCTCCACTCTTTCTTAAAATGCGAGAATGATAAGAATACCCGGCAAAAGGGACCAAAAATATGGAAGAGATCGTTCACTTGGTCGAAAGAATTCTTTCACAGCAAATCTTAATGCAATATTTCACATGATGACTGTCTGCTGAAATTAAACTGCGAGAATGATAAGAAGACCCGGCAAAAGGGACCAAAAATATGGAAGAGATCGTTCACTTGGTTGAAAGAATTCTTTCACAGCAAATCTTAATGCAATATTTCACATGATGACTGTCTGCTGAAATTAAACTGCGAGAATGATAAGAAGACCCGGCAAAAGGGACCGAAATTATTGGAAGAGATCTTTCACTTGGTTACAATAATTCTTCACAGCCAATCTTATTGCAACATTTAACATGTTAACTGTCTGCTGAATATAATCATTGACGTTTGAGGTGCTTATCCTTCATAAAGGTTAATTAATTTGATGCGAAAAGGTCCAAAAATTTGTAACCATTCCCACATTAAAAATGAAGCATTTAAGTCCAACTATATTTGAACAATTTATTTGATTTCGACCAATCAGAGGCGAGCATTTACACTGCTCTCGGGCTTCGGGAATACGAAATTTGAGCCGTTAACTAAAAGACCAAGAATTTGTTCACATGGAAAGTGAAGACAAGGCAAAGATACCTGAATGAGATCTAGGATTCCCAGCTCACTCTCAGAAGAGTCCACACAAAACACGAAGTAGAGAGTGGCATAGTGTCTGTAGATTAGCTTGTCATCTGATCCCGTTATTCTACAAAATAACAAACCAGTCATTATTTTGAATTCTGATTTAACAATCCAATTGTTGGTAAATAAAAAAAAAGAAAATAAAGCGACATGATTGATATTAAGACAATCAGTAGTTGTAAAAACAGTTGAAATAACTGTTCGAATTCAAGCGCTTGATATTACTCAGAAATAAAATTGGAGAATTGTACGAAGCGTCGTCTTTAAGTCCCGTCAAAAACGGCTGTCGTCTTAACAGCTTTCGTCTTATCTGTCGGAGAGCATTAATTGGAGAAAGTTAAGCACATATATACTTACAAAGATACAGATTCCAGGAAATTGCACACATTATCTTCACGCTTTGACACAATTGAGAAAACTTCTCTCAAGATTGCTTGTTGCTGGTCTTCAGTCTATAAAATTAACATTTGAGACTCATTTGAGACTCTTTAGGATGAAAAAATATGTTAATAAAAATAACTCAGCATCAAAATTTACATAAACTCACATATTGGTGATAAAATTTCAGCAAGCGGGGTTTCCCGTGGTTGTTGAAGATAAGTATAGCTTTGATCATTTTCGTCTATAAATCAAAAATATATTAGATTCCTCAATTGTTGTCATCAATCTCACCTAGGTTTTTACTTTCAATTTTTTGTGTTTAGTGTTTATTATTCGAGAGAGGGGCTGCCTTCCTTTCAGCAATTGAGTTTAAACTTCAAAAAATCCCTGAACAAAATCACCTATTTAAGACCTATTTTAGAGTTTTTGCTACGTTCATGGGCACTTAAAATTGTCCTATAATCGTAGATCAGAAGTTTTTCAAAAATCAGCTAAAATTTCTAAGACTTAATTACCTGCACCACCGCAACATTTTCTCAAATGGACTTTTAAATAAGCAAAAAAGTACCAGCAGAGTTCGCGCTGTGGCCACTATAAAGTAAAAATCACAAAAGTCCCTGCAGAGGCCATTAAGCCGACAAAAATCAGAAGGTAGGAGGATAAGACAAACGAGTTTTCTTCATGTCAATAATTTTCAGTTTGTTACACAGATGCGAAGCATTGCTTCGCGCCACTTGCGATGAAACTCAAACGAAGAAAATGAATCGGAAGCAATTCAGTCGATATGCATTTGAATAACTATCTACGAAAATTTCATACGTTTGTCTTATATGATGTTCAATTTAAGATAACACATTCCGAGAAAACAAAAAACAGGGTTAAATTAGCATTCAGAAAAATTTATCTAGCGCCACTGAAGCCGACAAAACTTGAGCAGACGATTGTTGAACCTTAAACAAAATTGCCATGAATTATTTTGAGCAACAACGTTTTGCAACAAAGATCTCACTTTTGCTTAAACCATTTAGGTCAAATAAACCTATTGAGCAAAAAAAGCAAGAAAAACTATATGAAATTGGAAAAAGCTAACTTATAAATTACAAAAACAAACTAAAATGCCTTAAATTTCTAGAAAAGCTTGTTCCATCTAGAAGAAACCTGCATGTTTTGGAAAGTAACCCGACAACAAAAAGCAGACAAAAATACTTGAATTTCTCCAAAAAAAAATATTTTCTATAAAACTCACCTCCTGGCTAGGAATGAATCCATTACTTTTCTCGTCTCAATACGGAAGTTAACTTCACACTGAGCAGACTAAATTGGAACCTCGAACTTGATAAACTACTAAACTAAGACAAGCAAATGATTCAGTGATTTTGTTAAACAATTTGTTTACCCGAAAATAATAAGCCAATTTGATAACGCTTGCTCTTCGCAAGCGTAAAACACAGAGACAAAGCTGCGCTATACAAACATAAGCGACAAAAAATCAACTGAAAAAAGAAAACTAGAAAAAGGTGAAAATAAGCCTTGCAAATTAAAACTTTTTCTATTGCGGATTCGAATCTACGACCAGGAAATTTGGAGTCTCAAGTTCTCGCATCTACGCCAATGGCCTTGGAAATCAACTAACATTAGCCACCAACAAAGCAGCTACATATGCAAATTAGGTATCACAGCAAACGTTCTACCAAATATACATAGACAACTCTTGCATAAAATAATTATCCACACTGGCAAGTAATACATTGAGAATCATTAAGCAAAAACATGTATGGTTCAGGCATTTTTAAAAAATCGAGAGGTATATAAGGTTGGAAAAATTCTGAAATGAAGTTTTTATGATTGTACTTGCTGTTTGAAATAAATCGCTTGTTTCGATAATGAAACAAAAAAAAACATGAAAACCTGTTTTTTCGACACGAAGGCGAAGCTGAGGCTTGACAAGCTACCCAACAGAAAATATTATCGACCAAAAAAAATCACAGTTGTATTCACCTCATGGACGATAGAAAGAAGAACAGTCAATCAAATCCAAAAATTAAATTTATATAGCCGTTTTAAGATTTTCAGCAGTTAGTTCGACAATTAAATTCTTTCATTTCTGATGAAACTTTGAAATAGGAGGCCAATCGTATTGACTAGGAGGTGCATCTCCCATTAAAGACTGCCATGGTTGATATTCTTTCAAGGTTCGTGACAACACGACTTCTCGCTGAGCGTCAATGATAGCTTCCTCAAGTTGCACGCCTAGTAATCGTTCCAGCTTTTCTCTATCCGGCTCCGATTTGACGTAATTCAGTTTTTTCTTAACAATATGTTCTGTCGCAACTTTGTATTTGCTGTCCTAGAGCAACAAAAACCCTCAATCAATTCCACACGGCTAGCATTGGTAAGTCAAGGCCAAACACAACATTTTTTCCTTTAACGTATTGAGGAAACAAAAAGATTTACTTGTGGATACTTTGTCAGATGCATTAGGGTTTTGTTGTACAGGAGCTTCAGCATATCATTAGGCTTAGATTGAACAGCTAAGCCAGTCAGTCCTGTCGTCAACTTCTTCGCTGCAGACATAGCAACCCTAAAATAAAACCAAAATCAAGCAAGCTGCAGAAGTCAATAAACTCAAGGAAACCAACAAAAAATTATTGTTTTAGAAACTTAAATTTCGAAAAAAAAACAACGCTAAATTTCAAATTTTTTAAAGATGAACTTTTTAAAAATTAACTAACGAAAACAATACAATCAGAGAAAGCAGGTAGCACGGAAGGGGACTGAACACTCACCCAAAAATATAAAGTGGTCCACTCACCCGAGACATCGCAGAAACGCATAGCTTATGAAATGCCGTTTATAAAGAACCGCCTTTTTGACCACAGTCCAATTGGGACTTTGCAAAAAACAATAAAATTCTGCAGTGGCTTTTAAAAAATGGCTTGAAAGACTCTTAGGCTGCTCACTGTTAGACCTGAGCTCAATTAAGAAAACGATTGGTGATTCAAACGACCAGAAGTTATTATGTATTTCGTCTAGGTTCGAAGTTATAAGATTGTCAGAAGTTATAAGTCCTTCGTTTCCTTTACACAGGCTCTAATCCCAGATCACAACAAATCCCGTTTTCTCTCTGTCCTGCTTCCTAAGAGGTACCTGCCAAAACGCTGATGCTAGATCAAGAGTAGTTAAAAAAAACTGCATCCCAGTTTTGAGAGACTGTAGTATTACTACTACTACAAAAAGAATTTATTCCCTTTAAAATATAAAGGCATCAAACAAAAGAAACGGTATGATTATGTACACACGACATCACGAACGGCAATTTATGCAATGGCAACAAAGTAGCATTGAACAAGAGTTGTTTAAGTTGAACATATCAATTCTATTTTTCAGATAGATTTTCAATTTTGCTTTGAAAGTTTCAGGCGATGAGAAAATGTCGGCTATGTTGTTTGCTGAAATCATGTTGGGGAACTCGGGAATGCTCGTTGGTAGGACTTCTTTCTCCAATATCGCCTCTAGCTCCTTTTTCACTAACTCGAAGCTTTTCGTCCATGTAGGGATTCTCAAGATTTCTTGCCCATTGGCTGTCAAGGGATTCAAGTTCCAGAACTTGGGGTAAGTTTCGATGGGGCCCTCGCGCTTGCCTCCCATCCGGCATTGCAGTTGTCCACGGAAACTGTACACGACCAACTCCGGATCCTTCACCTCCCCGAAGAGCACCGTGTTGCTCATTTGTGCCCTCAGCACCTCTTGCTGACACCAGTTTAGTGTCGTTCCATCTAGTACGCTTATGAGGCTCACGTGGGTCACGGAGTATCGATAAGCCGTCACCAGAGGATCCGGAAACGCGAACGTGACGGCCGGTCCATATATACAGGTCACGACCTCCCCTAGCCCCCGGATAATCCCCATGGGATCCGATCTCATGGCCAGGCATAGGTCCGTCAATAGGGGCATGCCTCCATTCGCTCTTCTCCATTCTTCTCTTGTCTTCGGGCTCTTCTCTTCACCAGTCAGGTGCCTGTTTTGCATCAACAGGTACTGCACTAGCAGCGTCTTTAGTCCTGCCGCACACTTGTATGAGTAGGTCTCAATACTCGAGTGTGTTCTTCCCATCGACAGGGGCTCCCCGTACCTCATCAGTCGGTGAAATGACGCCAGCTCACCGTGGGTCAGAAGCACTAACGTCAAGTACCCGTCTATTCTGAGGGTACCCACGCCACGACTGAACATGTATGCTGGGCCCATATTAAACAAGTGCCTCGGGTAAACCAGGTACAGCGCCAGCAACAGACTGATAGGCATGTTCAATACCTCCTGTATGAATGCCTTGAAGATAGTCTCCTTCGCACTGTACACCTCGGTCAGGAACTCTTTTCCCCAACAAGGACTCAAGAACTCGAGAATCTCATGATCCCTCCTCGTCCTTAGCTCACCTCTCGCGTGCTCCCTCCAGAACCCTCCAATCGTGACCTCATTGGCTGCTGGGACGAACCTGCCAACCGTCATCTCCTTCTTCTCAGCTATTCCCAGTTGCTCCTCAAGAAAATCCCAGATCTGCTTCACCAGAAGCGGCGCATCTTCTCTTGATTTTCTCCGTGGCGTTTTCCAGTCTTGGGGTCAAGAAGGGCAATTTGCCTCCCTTTTGTGCCAACCGATACACCATCGACTCTAGTTGCTTCTCCGATCGTCGACTCGTTGATCTCGTCCGGAAATAACATATAAACTGTCACTTTATGTTTTTTACTGTTTTTGGTCTTTTTTGGATTTTTTAAATGTTTTTTGTACTTTTTTGTTTTTAAATAAATTTGTTTTTGGCTTTTTCTTGGTTATACACTATTTTTGTTTGGTTTTACGCTTTCTCTTTAATTGTTTTTGGTCCTGGGACCTCAGGACAAGCGGGCTCTAGATTTCCCACCTAACCCTCCGGCCCCCGGAATTTTCGGTGTTAACTAAGTTAAAAAGCTAAATTGCACTAGACGGAGGGTACGCACCTTCCCCCTAGTACAACAACGGTCATTAAGGCCTCTAACTCGGGCTTACGCCCGGAGCGGAGGGTACGTCGCTGAAACGCTTGCTGATCATGATGGTTTCATGCCTTTAACAGGCCCACCCAGGAGCGCCATAAAAACGTCTATGTAACATTCGCCCAAATATCACACAGCGACGGAGCGTAGAAAAAGTACCTATCAACGACTGGCAGGCGTCAGTTACCTTAATTCTACTCGTTTTTCACCGTCTGGACCTTGCCAGTTGATGTCTGTCTAGGGCAAAGTAAAAAGTTACCATTTTTAGGCCATCAGTCAAACGACTTTTGATCAGCTTTCGTTTGCATGCGAACACAACCACATAGCTGAGTCTCGGATCCTCAGACTACGTGATTGTCATTAAAAACAAGGCTCGAACAACCCATTTTTATATGTTTTTGTGTGACAGTTTTACCTTAAATCCATTGGAGATGGATTGACCCTTTCCTTTTTTCTATCTACTCATGCTCTGAAATATTAAATAATAACGGTGTTAATTAAGATCTAGGACATTACAGCAGCTGTTATAGTCAGTTTACCCAGTCCCTTCACATATAACAGTCTCTGGGGGACCAAGCCTCCGCTCCCGTGATTTTCTTGAGATAACACTCTTATCTCCTATATTTCGTGTCCCGGGAGGGTTCCGTGGTATTTCTCTTCCCCCCACTGAAGCCTCCGTCTCCACAAATATCTGTCGCTAAGGTCCTTATCGTGTGTTCTTGCCACGATAAGAGGCTCCGTGTTTTTCTGTCTCTGATACAACTGTTCTTCACAATCTATATCGTGGTTCTGATTTTCGTCTTTTCTATTCAAAATGGCCGTCTTTTTTCTATTTCTCAGAAATGTTCTTCTTCCGATCGAAATTTTAAAAATAAAAATTCTAGAACATTCTGACCCTCCGTCGCAACACTTTTCTGTTCATAAGGCCTTTAGTCACTCTTTTTTCTGTCGCGGGAAGGTTATGCTGTGTCATCCGGCAGAATTGCACATACTCCCCGGACAAGTCTCCATCAATGTCCCTATTGATCGCACAACACCGGGTTATCGTCAAGTAGGTATCCATTTTTCTGTAACCAATCTTACAAATTGCATAAGAAAATGAAATTTATCTACTCCACTTCAACTCACTACGTGTTCACAAATGGCATCGTACTACATCTCACTGCCTTTCAACATTTTCACAAAATTTGCACCATGAGGAGTGTCCTAGATAAAATTTCTTTTCTGACTACTTACGTCGTCTTGTTATAAAACTTCTTTTCGCTCTTTGCGATTAAAAAGTGGGACGTGGCACGGCCACGCACCCGTTAAAATTAACTTAACTTCACTCACCAAGTATAATTAGTCATTTATGCGGTCCTTTCAATTTTAAAACTAAGAAACTCTGTGGCTAGGAAAGTTATTGAGTTACCCACCCTTCTCGAGCGAATTTACTCAAACTTACCATGTCGCCACACAGTGAATTTGTGTCTTACACAGGTTAAAAACTTCAGTCGTGAATAAATAGGTAAATATACTCACCTATGCTCCTTATATACATACATAGATAGTAGTAACTAAAATCAACAATTTCAACAATTTTAACAATTGCAACATTTTCAAAGTTTGGTCTGACCAAACTAGATCAAAACAAAAAGTTTAACAAGTTCAATAATCAAAACTTGGTTGATTTGTTCAAGTTTTAGCACACAAATACAATCAAGTTTTTCTCTCCTTCTCTTCTTTTCTTTGGTCATCTTCACTCCATCATTTCTCCATCCTGATGTTCAGCGTCACTGTCTTCCAGAACTTTCTCTAACATGTCCAGAGAGTTGCGGGCCGTGCCCCAACCCTCCTGTTCCAACAGCCTCGGTTTGCAACAAGGTAGCAAATCCACATTCACCTTCTGCTCACGGTTCCTGCAAAAGCTGTTGTGAAGACACAGGCTCACGTTTCGTTCTAGGTCAGCTCTTAAGACCTCTTTCTTTTCATCTTCAGTAACACAAGTCGTTCCAGCTACCCGCTTCACCGCTGTGGTGACCGCGTTTCTGTGCGTCAGGAAAGCTCTCTTATAGGCTCCTGGTCCTATGTCTAGCTGGAAAGATTGATAGGCTTCCGTGTTCCTTGACATGTGACGCTTCGCACGTTCATACATCCAAGATGTCATCACTGCACGGAACCAAGGCATCAATCTTTGCCTTGACCATATTCTTTCGATGGCTTTAGGTATTCTCAGAACCTTGCAGGTGGTTCTGAAAAGATCCAATTCACTACTCATTTTCACGTTGCTCAGCTGTTCAGGAGTCGGCACGGCCGTCTCCTGCTCACTTGTGTCTGCATTAGCCTCCAACCATCTCACTGCTAGCATGGCGCTAACCACCACGATTGACACTGGTTGATTCTGATCGGGCAACCCCGTGGAGTACAACTCCTCCACGTCCCATACTAGGATCAGATTCCCGCGTTTGGGGTACCACAACGTCTGCGCTAAGCAGTGGCAAGGATACTCCCCATGGGTTCTCACTATGTTCCTTCGGGTCCGATACCCTGAGGCTCCCAGCAACGGTTCCACTTCCATCAG